GAGAGAGAGAGAGAAGCAGAGGGAGAAGCAGGCTCCCCGCCGAGCAGGGAGCCCGATGCGGGACTCGATCCCAGGACCCTGGGATCATGACCTGAGCCGAAGGCAGTCGCTTAACCAACTGAGCCACCCAGGCACCCTGTCTGGTGTCTTTTGTTCACCATTTATATTCTTTCGTGTTGTGGATATTGCAGTGGTTTGTTCTTTTTCATTATTGATTAGGATTCTACTGTAGGATTATATCATAATTTATTTATACTCTGCTTATGGTCATTGGGTTTTCTTTTTTTTCCTTTTTTTTTTTTATAAAATTTTTTTTTTTTTAAAGATTTTATTTATTTATTTGAGAGAGAGAGAATGAGGGAGAGACAGCACATGAGAGGGGGAGGGTCAGAGGGCGAAGCAGACTCCCTGCTGAGCAGCAGGGAGCCCGATGCGGGACTCGATCCCAGGACCCTGGGATCATGACCTGAGCCGAAGGCAGACGCTTAACCATCTGAGCCACCCAGGCGCCCCTCTACAATTCTTTTTTGAACATGCCTTCAAAGTGGAGATCTTTGGCCATGAGCTCTTCTTTGACATCATCAAGTGTCCACTGGCAATCTGTTAGCTCTAGAACTTTCCACTTTGCCTTGAAAGCTTTGTTGCTGTCTGTGGGCATGGCCATGGCTGCTCCAGTCATCTTTGCCTGGATTGTTTTGTTTGTTTGTTTGTTTGTTTTTTAGATTTCATTTATTTACTTGACAGAGAGCACAAGCAGGGGGAGCAGCAGAGAGAGAGAGAGGAGGGAGATTGAGAGCCTGATTCGGGGCTCAGTCCCAGGACTCTGGGATCATGAGCTGAGCCGAAGGCAGACACTCAACTGACTGAGCCACTTAGGCGCCCCTGCGTGGATAATCCTTGACTGGTTATTGGCTTTATTTTGGCTCAGAATGAGAGAATAAATGCTCTGAATCCCAAATACATAGAAGTACCAGGATGTAGCATTTACCCAGATGCAGCTAATGCAAATAGTTGGAATTCCTTGCTATAGCATAGGCTTAAAACAGGGTCATTGGAAATAGGACTTTGGTTGTAACAAAGCCTGAGCATGTCATGTTATCCATTCACTAGTAAGAATAATTGGGAGGACATGTGTTAAATTCCCTTTCACCACGTCAGTGAGCATAATGATATCAGTCATAAGAGAAGGTAGTACTGTTTTCCCTTTAGTTTTTTGAAAAATCCATCGTTTGGGGTGTTGGAAGTAATATTTTTACGTCAAGAAGGACTGTTTGGGAATATTATTTCCATTTTCCCTGAGGACTCTGCTTTGTATTAGGACTTCAACTGTCAAATACTTGCTCTTGGGTGAATTTCTTGTCACTCTGCAGCAGGATGGTGGATCATGCCCACAGAGAGGGTGATGATAAACATGGGCAGGAACACCCAGAAGCTCACATTGGAGTCAAGCAGCAGCTCCTGCCATCTTTTTTTTTCTTTTAAGATTTTCTTTTATTATTTTTTTTTAGAGAGAGAGGTGTGGAGGGACAGAGGGAGAGGGAGGGAGAATATTACACAAGCTCCATGCTCAGCGTGGAGCCAGACTTGGGGCTCGATCTCACAGCCCTGAGATCATGACCTGAGCTGAAATTAAGAGTCAGACACTTAATTGACTGAGTCATCCATGCACCCCTAAAGATTTTATTTTTATGTAATCTCCACACCCAGCTTGCAACCCTATTGCAGAGTTATATGCTCTACTGACTGAGCCAGCCAGGCGCCCTTCCCGCCATCTTAATTTATAGGGGCGCCTGGGTGGCTCACATGGTTGGGTGTCTGCCTTCAGCTCAGGTCATGATCCCAGGGTCCTGGGATCGAGTCCCACGTCGGGCTCCCTGCTCCTTGGGAGCCTGCTTCTCCCTCTGCCTCTCTCTGTCTTTCATGAATAAATAAATAAAATCTTTAAAAAAAAATTTATTAAAAAAAATAAAAAATAAAAAATAAATTTATTGAGAGCCAGCCTAGTCAGGATTGCAGGTCAGGCCCTCAGCCTGGGCATTACCTTGTTCCAGAACTGGCCCTGGCTGTGCTGTAGCCTCAGGCCTAGTGTGCTGCCTTCAGCTGGGCTGCCATTTTATTTTATTATTTTTAAAATATTTATTTGGAGGAGAATGACCGTGGGGGGGGCAGAGGGAGAGAATCTCAAGCAGACTCCTTGCTCACACAGGGCTCGAACTCATGACCCCGAGACCATGACCTGAGCCAAAAGAGTTGGATGCTTAACCAACTGAGCCACCCAAGGTGCCCCTGCCATTTGATTTTAAATAGTTTCTGAAGTTAACAGTCATCAAGGTTCCCTGAACTCTTGCTTGTTCTAAACCATCTGTATTAAAACCACATATTGAAGTGAGAGGTACTAAACCTAGGTTTTTTTTGACCACTCCAACCTTCCTTGCCTCAGTGGAAAAAAAAAAAAAAAATCAGGCTATAAGATAGGGTATACCATATGAATTCATTTTTATAAAAACACGAAAACTTATTTATCACTGCCTATATATCAAATAAGTACTCAATAAAAATTATAGCATAATGATTGAAATGATTAAATATACACTAAAAACAATGGATATATATTATATAATTGTTTAAGAGTAGCACTTTTTTTTTTAGAGAGCACGTGGGTGTGCACACACGCATGTGGTGGTGGGGGAAAGGGGCAGAAGGAGAGGGAGAGAGAATCTAAAGCAGGCTCCATGGCCAGCATGGGGCGACAGGGAGCTTGATCTCACCACCCTGAGATCACCACCAGAGCCCCCACGAACCCCAAGTGTTGCATTTTATTTATTTATATGTGGTGAGAGAGTGGTGAAAATGAAAATACTTTGTAGCTATAGATAGAGCCATGCAGGAAGTCATAAATTCAGCCATTTCCTGAAATAATCTCATGCTGCTAAGAGATTTTATTATCCTTTTGCTCTGAAAGGCAACATAATAGTTGGGATGTATCATAAGGAAAAACTGTCTTCCGTAGTTGAGGTACATAGAGCACAATGGGGGGGCACGCCTGGGTGGCTCAGTTGGTTGGGTGCCTGCCTTCAGCTCAGGTCGTGATCTCAGGGTCCTGGGATCAAGCCCCACATGGGACTCCTGCTCAGCGGAAAGCCCGTTTCTCCCTCTCTCTGCCCCTCCCCACCACTTGTGTTGTCTCTCTCCCCTTTTCTATCTCAAATAAATAAATAAAATCTTATAGAGCGCATTGGGACACAATTCCAAAGCAAATGGCTCACCACAGCTGATAGAGCTCAGCTGTAATGACAGATGAGTGATGGCTATCTTACTCTTGCTTGAAAACAGCCTGCTTAAGTACTGGAATGGGAGATACACTCATTGGACAGAGACCTTTTAGGTGAGAAATAGAGAAGTTATCCTTGTCCTAGGGAGCTCATAGGCAAGTGACTTTGGGAGGTTACACTTAGAGTTCTTGTGCTTCAGTTGAATTCATCTTTAAAATAAGGATGAGGGCACCTGGGTGGCTCAGTCGGTTAAGCGTTTACCTTCTGCTCAGGTCATGATCTCAGGGTCCTGGGATAAAGTCCCACATTGGGCTCCTGCTTCTCCCTCTGCCTCCTGTTCCCCCTGCTTGTGCTCTCTCTCTCTCTCTCTGACAAATAAACAAAATCTTAAAAAAAAAAAAAAAAAGGATGGGGGTGCCTCGATGGCTCAGTCAGTTAAGCTTCTGACTCTTGGTTTCAGCTCAGGTCGTGATCTCTTAGTTGTTGAGATCGAACCCCCCCCCCCGCCCCAGTTGGGCTTAGCAGGGTGTCTGCTTCAGATGCTCTCTCCCTTTACCTCTCCTTCCCCCTCTGCCTCTTCCCCCGGTTGCCCCCCAAATAAAGAAATAAAATCTATCTAAAATAAGGATGATAATATTATTCCTGCTTAAAAAGTTGTTACATTAAAAACTACTTAAAAGCATCACTTGATATTTTAAAAATACAGATTTAGATATGTCATATAATGTAAATTCTAAATTTGCTCATTGTAAGTAAATATTTATTGAATGTTTAAGTCAAGGACTGTGCTAAATGTAATTTTTAAATATTTATTTTCTCAACAGGTGGTACTTTATTTGGTAAAACAATTTCAAAAGGGTCTACAGTGAAAAATCTTCCTTCTGCCTTTTCTCCTGGCCCCCAGGTTCTTTTCATTGTTTTCAGAGAGATTTTATGCATGTATATATATACACACATTAGATATATTGTACTATGATAATATGTATCTGCTTTTTAAAGTCACAGAAGGTAGCCTATTATATAAACTACACCTCTCTCTTTCTGAGTACAAAGTATTTCGTATCTTTATGTCATTTGATACAATAGTAGTTAAGATAGGTACTCCTGTTACCTCCATTTTATAAACAAGAAAGCAAAGACCTCTCCGTTTCTTAGTAGCTTGTCAGTCATAGACAGGATCTACTTCCTAGGTATAGAGGGAATTATTTTGGTACCACTGATTTGACTTTTTATCTTGAAACCATTTCAGACTTACAGAAGAGTTGCAAGAATAGAATAAAGAATTCCATATACTCCTTGACCAGAGTCTCCATTCGGGTTTCTGCGGCCGTCTGGGTAATGTTGGCAAAAAGAGTCAAGCCGGGAGCACATGTTGTTCCAGTTGCGCTGTCTTGTTAGCCTCCTTCAGTCTGGAACTGCTCTTAGGCTTTCCGTAGCTTTTGTGACCTTGATGTTTTTGGTGATCACAGGCTGGTCGTTTTGTAGACTCTCTCTCAATTTGCTGTTGTCCTAGATTTCTTCCCAGTTAGGCCAGTATTATACACTTTTGGTGTGAGTATCACCAGTTATGTTGTGTTCTTCCCAGTGCATCCCATCAGCTGGCATACGGTGGCGATTCGTCCCACGACTCCCGTTAAGGAAGAAAAAAAAAAGAGCAGAAGAGGGGAAAGTAACATAAATTAGTTTTCATTTTCGCGGGCCCAACGTTCAAATATCTTTTCTTTGTAGCATCCTGGGGGAGAAGAGGTTCTGCTGGAACAAGCTGGTGCAGATGCAAGTGAGAGCTTTGAAGATGTCGGCCACTCCGCTGATGCCAGAGAAATGCTAAAGCAGTACTATATTGGTGATGTGCATCCGGTAAGAACGAGCTGAGCTAGGAGTGCTTACAGAGACGAAGCTGCTGAACAGCCACAGAACACAAGGAGGGGGAATGAATCATTAAAACGGAAACTCATTGAACCCAGCCATCAGGCTACATACTCTCCCAAATCCTTTTGCCTGCTGTGCCGAGATACAGCTTCTTGCATGTAAAGCAACACCGGTAGTTATCTGAAAAGTTAAGGGAAGTGATTTTGGAATTTTTTTAATTGATTTTTGTGATGCAATTACATCTCTACCTAAAAGAATGATTTGGTTGTTCTTGGAAATTCCTTGCTAAAGGTGGTAACTGTGGACATTCTAACAAGGGACCCTGATAGTCCCAGAGTTGGGGCAGGGAGAGCATCTGCCTTTCTACAGACCTTGACGTCTCTCAGAGAATTCTATTACCAGAATGTATTCTCATGGTCTAAGGTTAGAAACAAGCACATAGTGCCCAGGGTGAGAATTCATTTGGATATGACTTAAAATATTATTTGTTTTCCTTTTTTAACAGAATGACCTTAAACCTGAAAGTGGTAGCAAGGTAAGAAGTCATCTTTCTCTTATGTGTTTCAAGTGTTTATATTTCTATTTACTCAAATAGAACGTCTTTTGAAAAAAATAACAAGAGAAGTGTTTACTTTTCCCCCAAGCAAAAATCCTATTTTTTCAGGAATTTGGATTCAGTGCCATTTCAGGAAAAAAGAATAGCTGAGTCTTAAACAGTAGGAAACATTTTGTTCATGCTTCTGTTTGCTTTAAAAAAAAAAAAAAAGGAAAGGAAATTCTAAAGCCAGTATGGTTTTGAAAGAAATTAGTTGATAGGTTCAGTTGTAGAAAAGTATTTCTTATTCTTTCATTAAATAATACAGGTGATAACAATTCTGTGTTGGAAAAAATCATTGGAAAATTGATTTTCGCTTAAAAGTCTGAGGAGTTACAGATTGAAGTAATTGACCGGAATGGGCCTTTCTGTCCCTGTTACCCAGATTTAATCCTTTTATCGTATAGGCTCAAATAGGCCTATACCCATTTCATTTACTCAGTGATACAGCAAAAACGAAAGAGTAAATATTTGAAAAACTTAATGTGTACTGCATAACATACCAGGCACAAAATATGAAAGCCTTTTAGCTTCCCACAAGCGGGGCTCTTCATTTCCCTTACTACTTCAGGCTTTTTCTTGACTTCCTCCTTCAGACAGCTATCAGGTTACCCTTTCACTTAAAGGGACAGCAGTTTAGTTGCTACCAGAACGTCATTTCACAATGTCGGCAGTCTGTTGCTGTGCAATCCAGAGTGTTTGTGGAAATTAACTCTTCCGTCTTGCTACACTGCTATTCTGAATTGTTGAACTGTTTATGAAGGGGGGTGAAATGATTCTTTTAAATGCTTCCGGAGCACTGTTGGTTGGTCTTTTTTCCCCTTCCTAGCACATGTAATGAAGGTCAAGTTCGAGCTGTGCGTGGCCTTACTGAATATATATTGGACCTGTCTAGAAAACATTGGTCTTGGTTAAAGTAAACATTTAATTCAAGGGATATTCCCATTTGTGCCAGAGATACACGTTGTATCTAGGAGCCATAACCCACTTTCACACATCAATCATGAGAGCGCCTTTACTAAAACAATAGAAAATATTTTGGGAATTATAATTGTCTAAAAGTCTACAAATTGCTTCTTGTTGCTATTTTTCTTCCTTGGTGATTCAGTGTGTGGTGAGGACCATTCTTGGGAATGGAGAGTGGTATTTTTCAGATTCTTTCCCTTGGACCACCTGTGTTGGAATCCCTGGGCATGTTTCTGAAGTGTCTATTTTCTGCTTCCACTACTACTGATTCGTAGTCTTTGGAGGTGGGACTTGGGAATTTGCATTTGAAGTAACCCAGGTAGCCAAGCACCAGGCTTTTTGCTAAATGATGTGCCCATCTTTTCATTTGGAAACTTGGGGAACTTTAATTCTCCTCTGTAGAAAGCACTGTCCACCTGGTATAGGCCAAAGAATGAATTAGAGATGTCTCAGCTAAATTAAATTTGTTGAGCCTTGGAATTTTGTAAGAAATACAGAAAAAGAAACCCTTTCAACTCACTGAATTCTCTATTAATTTAGAAGTTTCCAAATATAGTTTGGCCCCTGCCTGGTATAACAGTGGCTAAAGGCAGTATATTCAAAGCTGTTTTCCTTGGGTCTGTTGTACCCAAAGGACAGTCTCCATTAAGTAGAGAGTAGGTTATAGAGTGTTTGCAGTCACGCTGCTGTATTTTAGGCAGATCAGGCAAGGAAAACCTTTGGCAAAAATTTCAAGGCCATCTACATAGTTTTCACAGAGCTATAGTCCAACCTGATTTCAGTTCCAGGAAGAAAGTCCTGATTTCTTAACAAAGATTTTAAATAAACACTTCTGTATCTAGGATGTAGATGTTTCCTCTTAATTTTTCTTCACTCACCATGGAGTAAAGGATGTAAAATTCATTTCATTAATACTTTCTTTTGGTTACAGGTTCCTAAACCTCTACAAAGAAGTGATTTTTTTTCTTTTTTAAGCCTAATTAAGAGGTGACTTCTGCCTCGGGACAGAGTTTTCATTTCCCTTCTCTTTCTTTTGCCTTCCTTCATTTCTCCACTTCTCTCCTCCCCCCACAGCTTCCCATCCCTTCCCTGCCGGAAACTACTCCCCCCCCCCGGCCCCGCCCCCAGCAAAATTAAAAAAAAAAAAAAAAAAAAGCCACTGAGAATGTGCTGTTCCAGAGTAGAAATCAGAAACCTTTCCCCAGTTTTTTGGCAACTACCTTTCCCACTCCTTTTGCTACAACAGAGGTAAATAATTGATGGTCACCATTGTTTTCTTGTTAGATTGATAATGTCTGAGGTCCAAGGCCTTGAAATAGTACAAAACTAAAATGTAAAAGCTTAGAAACTACAGATCTGGCAGCAGATGTTTTTCTCACCTGCTTCAGTCGTAGATAATGGACTAGAATTACAAACCTTTTTGTCTCTGTGAATCTCTTCCTCCCTGGAATAGTCCCCATGCTGAGAGCCATCAGTCTTCTATTCCTACTTGAGTGAACATTTTTTTGGTCTGCTTTGGATTATGGAAACTCACCTTAGAAACACTTGGTGTTGCTCTTTCCGCCGTCTTTCCGTGCGGCCGTAATGGTGCGCATGAATGTCCTGGCAGATGCTCTCAAGAGCATTAACAATGCTGAGAAGAGAGGCAAACGCCAGGTTCTTATTAGGCCGTGCTCCAAAGTCATCGTCCGGTTTCTCACTGTGATGATGAAGCATGGTTACATTGGCGAATTTGAAATCATTGATGATCACAGAGCGGGGAAGATTGTTGTGAACCTCACGGGCAGGTTAAACAAGTGTGGAGTGATCAGCCCCAGATTCGATGTACAACTGAAAGATCTAGAAAAATGGCAGAATAACCTGCTTCCATCCCGCCAGTTTGGTTTCATTGTACTGACAACCCCAGCTGCCATCATGGACCATGAAGAAGCAAGACGAAAACACACAGGAGGGAAAATCCTGGGATTCTTTTTCTAGGGATGTAATACATACTTGCAAATAAAATGCCTCAATGGACAAAAAAAAAAGAAAGAAAGAAAGAAACATTTGGTGTTGGGGCGCCTGGGTGGCTCAGTCATTAAGCCTCTGCCTTCGGCTCAGGTCATGATCCCAGGGTCCTGGGATCGAGCCCCGCATCGGGCTCCCTGCTTAGTGGAAAGCCTGCTTCTCCCTCTCCCACTCCCCCTGCCTGTGTTCCTGCTCTAGCTGTCTCTCTCTCTGTCAAATAAAATCTTAAAAAAAAAAAAATTAAAAAAAAAAAAGAAAGAAACACTTGGTGTTTTCTGTGCCATTTTGCCTGCCTGTCTACTGTAGGGTGAGTAAGCTAGACACATTTGTGGTCCATGATGTCTCTCTTTGGATGATGCGTTCACTTGTGGGTTCGCTGTTTGAGCTGCCGGCAGTTGAGAAGATGAGGTACATACACATGCTAACCTGGCAGAAGTAGTCAGTACCATTTCATTCGTTTATTCAGCAGATACTATCTAGGTGACAGTTCAGCTGCTCCAAGTATCATTACAATGAGCAGACTCAGTAACCTGACCATTTTCCCATTTAAATTTTTGGATGGGTAGTACACGATGTACATCGTACAAAAAATTGAAATAGTGCAAAAAAGTGTACTTTTATGTATACGTTTTATATATAAATAATACCTATCCTTTACATATAATTATGTTAATTGTATATAATACATAAATAATATATTTATATATATATTTTACACACACACACACACACACACACATATATAAAATGACTCCCTTCCATCTCCAACTCTCAGTCTCTCGGTTCCCCTTCCTCAGAGGTAGCCAGCTACCATTTTCTTGTTTTCTCTTCCCAAGAGATTCTATGCATTCATAAATAAAAATGGGTGCACAGACAGATCGATCCATTGATCAATAAGTTGATAAGCAGACTAACATCCCTTCCTTAAAAAAAAAAAATCACATACTGTTCTATACCTTGTTTCTTTACTTAAAATTTTTATCTTAGTGATTGTTCTTTTTTTTCCTAAAAGAAACCCACTTTTTCTTTTCAAATTTTTATTTAAATTCTAGTTATTTAACATACAGTACAGTTAGTGATTGTTGTTTAACAGTATCCCATAGACAAGAATTTTGATGAAATGGCATTTGCCGTACATAACAGGATTTGATGTGTTTTTTAAAAACAAATAAGAGGGGCGCCTGCGTGGCTCAGTTGTTAAAAAATAAGCATCTGCCTTTGGCTCAGGTCATGATCCCAGGGTCCTGGGATTGAGCCCCGCATCGGGCTCCCTGCTCAATGGGAAGCCTGCTTCTCCCTTCCCACTCCCCCTTCTTGTGTTCCCTCTCTCACTGTCTCTGTCTGTCAAGTAAATAAATAAAATCTTTTAAAAAACCAAAAAAACACAAAAAAACAAATAAGATTGTGGGGCGCCTGGGTGGCTCAGTTGGTTGAGCGATTGAGCGTCTGCCTTCAGCTCGAGTTGTGGTCCCAGGGTCCTGGGATTGAGGCCTGCATTGGCTCCCTTCTCAGTGGGGAGTCTGCTTCTCCTGTTCCCTCTGCCTCCCCCCTCATGCTCTTTTTCTCGTTCTCTCTCTCAAGTAAATAAATAAAAATCTTCTTAAATAAATAAATAAAAACAAATAAGATTGTCTCCATAAAGGCTTAATGTGTTATTTAAACTTCATTTTTTTAAGTTAAGAACTAACTTTTGAAATCAAGTAAATTCCATGTATGTTAGAAGCAATCTATAAGTTCATTTAAAAGCAGATACATATTTTTCTTCCTGATGCTACTCACTTTTGTTATACAACAGTTTTCTAGAACACATAAATAATAACCAGTTTATCTTCTCTTTTATGGGAGAGAAACTAAAAAGAATACATTGTTTGTAATTATGTAATGTAGTTACTTGGTTGCATCATACCAAAATTTTCCTTCAAAGAATTGTTTAATATTCCTGTCATACATAAAACCTAGTTCATTAA